GCCAAGAATGCAATACGGTGTCAGATTCAGACATCATCTGGATCCCAGCGAGGATCGGTGATTCAGCAGAGAAGAACTCATGCGAACAGCACCTCAAGTTATTGCAGGCTATGAAAGAGAACTCAAGGGGAAGATGCCTGCAGATTAGAAGACTTCTCAGAGGACTATAGAAGAAAAGGAGGAGGGAATGCGAGGATTTGGGTCCTCGGCAGGCCTAAGGGGCCCTTGCTGCAGATTTGCCCGCCCTAAGTGAAGGCGGGCCCAACAAATCACGAGATGCCCTCAGCTGTCAATTTCGTATTCGGGGTTCAGGCAGTTTCGACGCGCCAGTTGGCTGAGGGAAACACAGCGAGCAGCAAGACATTCCATGGCCTTCCAGGCCTTTCCAAAAATGCAGGCCGTGGGCGAGAATCGCAGCCTCGTAGACAGGCAGTTGGGAGGCCCAACCGAACGGAGGCCCAGCAGCAGCATCAGAGGCACAGCCTCCTGGGGCCTACCGGAAGCTTCTGGGCAGAGGCCCAGGCCACCCAGGCCGCCGAGAGAGGCAGGCTCTTTCCATATAGGAAAGAGCTCGCTGCCTGGCCAAGCATTCAGCACTTGCATGTTGGCGGCAGTGCTGCTGGAGCGGACGCTTGTGGGCTGCAGCTGGCACTGAGAGGCAAGGTGCTAGCGTGTGCGGTTGTGCAGGGAGCAGGGCGCTGCTGAGGCCAGCGCCATAGCCCAGCCTCCATAGCTGGATGAGCTTGGACTACAGTGAGGCGCAGGGGTGGTCTTCGGGTGTACAGAGGGAAGATGTGGGAGTAAGTCAGGGAAGAGAGAGAAGGATGATGATGATGATGATGATGTGAGGGCACATACCTTGTATTGGCGATGGTCTGCATTGGGCGACGTACTTCGTGGGCTGCTGACGTCAACAGTTGCATTGTCAATTAGTAGAAAGACTGCAGCTGTGTAGGAAGTAGGCTGGGCGCCGAGCGCTAACTAGGGAGATAGGGCCTGGACACTCATGTTGGTGGTGGCGAGAGCAAGCTCTCATTTACATTGGTTTTCAGTGTTACGATTCTTCATTGGTGTTATATTGGTGCATTTCTGCTTTCTGGACACTGTGATAGTATCTGGCCTTCAATGTGATTGTGCATTCTGGACATTGTCATCTCGCTATTGCTCATTTTCTTTGCACGTACCTTAAAGCACATATATGTCACACAAAAAGAAAAACAAGAAAAAAAGCAAAAAATCAGCGCAATGTGACAGTTTCGGTGCAAAATTAGCCAAACACAACACTGGTTAGCCATATGTGGAATGGAAAGGAGTGATGGTTGTAAGGTGGCCTTTCTAGCGTCTAGTTTCAACCCCCCAAAAAGGGAAGATGTTAATACAGACGTGCATGTCCCAAGAAGACGCCCACAGGCCAGTTAGGCGTTGGGTACCAGTTTGTTGGGAGCCTCAGGTTTTTTGCACCGCTTGGCAGGCTCGTTGATTGACAATACTTCGCTTTGAGGGCCAAATTCTTGACAAAATGCTCATTGGGTGGCATCCAACCCCCTCTAGGTGTTGGAGTGTGGCTGAGGCCTGACACATCAACGTTGGTCGTTTTTTACCACAGATATAGCCAGTTTTTTGGTCGTCACAATAGTATGTTGATTGTATTTTTTTGCAATTGAAAGGATATCACAGTTACCGCCATGGTCCCAGTCCCAGCTCCAGTCCCAAGTACCAGTTCCAGTCCCAGACCTGGTCTCATTTATCATATTCTTGTGCCCCAAGGCAGGGCCGGTACCAGTGGGGCAGCAGGCCATCGTAGGTAGATTCCCACAGGTACCCGTAGGCTTAGGGAAAAGTCAGTAGAAGTCTGTAGGCCCCTTTTGGTCTCAGTTGGTCCAGTCATCAGCAGTTCCGGGAAAGTCAGGTAACTTCTAGAATCGACAAACATCGGCAGAGGGACCGGGCCCGTAACTGGCAAAGGAAGTCTGGAAGTGAAATGTCAGGTACAAAAGGCCAGTTGTTGAAGTTGTCAACGCAAAGTCACGTGCGTGGCCAGGCTGAAGTGCTGCTGCACTATCTTGGGATGCGTTGTAATGCGCTGCTGCAGGAAGTAGCTGATGGCCTCAGGTGCCCATAGCGCGTGTGTGTGTGTGTGTGTGTGTGTGTGTGTGTGTGTGTGTGTGTGTGCGAGAGAGAGAGAGAGAGAGAGAGAGAGATTCTTTTAAAGTAAAAGATTTTATAGGTATTCAGAGAGCACATGAGGCAGTGGAATCAGCCCTTGGTAAACTGAAGTGCGAGTGCAGTGGCGACTGCAATCACAAGGAAGTGGGTGCGTCAGCAAAATTAGGGCGCTGCTCGGCATCGACAACGGGGCGCTGATCATCACCGGCACCATCATCAAGGTGCTGCTCGTCATCATCGTCATTATCACCGTCATCATCAACAGGGCGTGTTTCGGCAGCATCATCACGGTAAGGGTTCGTTGTCAGCACCACG